TTGAAAAATACAATAGCCAAAATGAACAAATCAACAGAGGGGCCCCATGGTATGCTGGGTCTGGCAGAGGAAAGAATCAAGGCACGTGGAGATATCAACAGAGGTTATGCAATCTGAAACACAGAGAAAAAAGAACGAACACATACAAGAAAGAACAACAACAGAAGAAGAGAGAATCTGATAAAGGTACAGAGCACTGGGACGCGAGACCCTCATGATAGCACTGGGTTGAGAGGAGAAAAAAAGAGGCAGAAAAAAACAGGCGAAGAAATGACTTAAAACTTTCCAGATTTGACCAAAAGCATTAATCCACACACCCAAAAAGCTCCATAAACACCCAGTAAGATAAATTGAACCAAGTCCACACCCAGACACCTCACAGTCAAAAACACAAAGACAGAAACTCTTCAAATCATGGACAAGGGAACTCACATAATATTAAGAGTTGGCTTCTAGTCAGAAAAAAACTGGGGGACAGAAGGCAATGGAGCAACATAGTCAAAGTGTTGAATAAAAACTGCCAACCAAGAATCGTCTGTTCAGCAGAACTACTTTCGAAAACAAAGGTGAGATAAAGACATTCTGAGATAAACAGAAACAGGAAAATTCTTTGCTAGCCAACTTGCCTTCAAGAGATACCGAAGGAAGACCGACAGGTTGAAAGCAAACAATACAGACAGAAATTCAAATTCACACGAAAAGACAGAATGAACCAACAAAGATGATCACACATGAGTAGTTATAAGAGATAGTATGATTGCATATGTCTTCCCCTTTCTTCTCTTATGAGTTAAAAAGCAATTTCATAAAATATGTATATGATTGTATTGTTGGGCCTGTAATGTGTAGAAATGTAACATATTTAACAATAACAGCACAAAGGAGAAGGTGAAGAAATGGCACCCAATGGTGACTTGAATCCATAAGAAGAAATGAAGAGGACCAGAAAAAGTGCATAAGCAGGCTATCATGGTAAACTCCAGAAATATACTTGCTCTCCTTTCCTCCCTCGACTTCCTTTAAAGACATACAGTTCTGTAAAGTAGTAACTATAAAAAATGTATTCTTGAGTTTGTAACAGTATGGATATACAGACATAATATGTATAATAATAGCACAGAAAGAGGAGGAGGCCATAGAGTTGTATAGAAATAAAGTTTCTACATGTCACTGAGATTTAGTAGAAATCTTTTTTTTTAAAGATTTATTTATTTGTGTGTGTGTGTGTGTGTGTGTGAGAGAGAGAGAGAAGAGAGAGAGAGAGCACATGAGCTGGAGGATTGGGGGGCGGGGGCAGAGGGAAAGATTTTCAAGCAGACAGATTCCCTGCTGAGCACAGAGCCTGATGTGGACCTCAGTCCCAGGACCCTGAGATCATGACCTAAGCTGAAATCAAGAGTTGGATGCTTAACCAACTGAGCCACCCAGGCACCCCTAGTATAAATCTCAAGTAAATATTGATACTAGAGCAATGACTAACAAAAATAACTGAAAAAATAGAGTAGAAGCAAATTAAGAAGGTATACTAGAAAATTTTCACTTAAAAAAGAAGTGGGAGAAAAAGAGGAATAAAGATATGAGACATACAAAAGACAAATATCAAAACGGCAGATGTAAATTCTGCCATAGCAGTAATTACATTAAATGTGAATGGATTAAACAATCTAGTCAAAAGGCAGAGATTGGCAGAACAAAACTGATATGCACCCAGCTACACACTATCTGTAAGAGATACATTTTAGATTAAAAGACACAAACAGGTTGAAAGTAAAAGAATGGAAATGAAACACCATGTCATCAGTAACCAAAAGAGAACCGGAGTGGCTGAGTAATATCAGACAAAATAATCTTGAAGACAAAATTGTACCATACTGTACTAACGAAAGGGTCAATCCATCTAGGAGACATAACTATCATATACATATATCTACCTGAAAACAGAGCCCCAAAATACACAAATTGACAGAATTCGAATGAGAAATAGACAATTCAATAATAGTTGGAGACTTCAATACATTAGTGGATGGCAGAAGATCAAAAACCCAGGTGACTTCCACAACACTGGGAATCAACCAGACCCCACAGACACATACAGAGCACTCCGCACAACTGCAGAATAACAAGCTCTTTTCAAGTGCATATGAAACATTCTTCTGGCACAGACCATAAAACAAGACTCAACACATTTAACAGGATTGAAAATATACAAAGCATGTTCCTGGGCCACAATGGAAGAAAATTAAAAAATCAATAATAGAATGACACTTGGGAAATTCACAAATATGAGGAAATTAAAAACACACTCCTAAATAACCCACGTTCCAAATGGGTGAATTTGTGGTATGTGAACTACATCTCAATCAAGCTGTTTAATAAATGTGGTTCAAAGCAAGCTCTCCCATCTGAGCTGGCACTTCTGAGATGATGAACGTCCCCACGTCCCTCTGTTGGGATCCCGTGAATATTTAGTGCCTACAAATCTCCCAAATGCATAAGGTTCAAAGACAGGACCTAGCAAGATTATAAAGCGAAGAACTCTGGAAAAAGGATGGGCTTCATTTTATCTACCCACGGACCCGGGGGGCAGATAGAACCCAGGCATGGGAATTTCAGCTGGAGGTGACGGTCAGAGCTTTCCAGGGGCCTGGACCCCCAGATCCTAGGTGAAATTGTGCACATATATAGAGAGAGCATCTAACCTCTCATCAGGTTCCTGATAGAGCCCTTAACCCAAAAAGCACTGGGAACCACGAGAGGCATCTGTGGGAATTATAAAAGGAACCCCTTCCTCCTGGCACAGGCCTTGCACTTAGCCACAGTCCTAGAGCGAGGACAACTAAAATCTGTGCAGCAGGTCTGCAGGGAGGGACAGAACTGGGAGCCCGGTGCTCAGATATGCCTTTCAAGACCCCCCTCCCCCCCTGCCCCCATCAGTGCATGTCCAGGGAAGACATAAAAACTTCCGTAAGCTTTGGCTTTATCCTCTATTACATGAAGATCATGACAACCTCCTTGCAGGATTTAGTGTGAATTCCATGCCCCTCTCTCCAGCACCTGCCCTCCTCCCCTCTTCCCTCCCTACCCCCAGCCCCTCCCTCCGTCCTCCACCCTCTGTGCCTGTGTGTGTTTGTATGTAGGTATCCATGTATGTGCGCATGCATGCACCTGTGTATATGCCGAGCTCAGGGCCTGTATACACTTAATAATCCTCCATCAAACCAGCTGAATTTGCAGCTCAAAACAGCCCACTTGTGTGAGAGGAGAGACAGACTGGATGCGGCCCGTCCACCCGTTCTGAGAATGCTTTCATGAACAAAGAGTTCAGAATGCATGCATCCAACCCGGGCTGCTGACCCCGGGGTGCTGAGCTGGAGAAGACAGTGGAGGCAGGGGCTCCGCCAAGCTCTGGATGACCTCACGCTTAGTCTTGTCGGCCGGCCAACGAGCAGAATCGCTCTACCTCATGGGACAGAAGGCAATGGGGCAACGTCTGAGATGGCTGAGCGTGAGACGAGTGTGCCTGGCCCACAGTAGGTGCTCAGTTAGTGCTTACCCTCTGTTGCACCGCCACGAGCTCGACCTGCAGGGCCAATGTGGGAGGGCTGTGGGCCCCAGACAGCCGCAGGTCCTGGAATTACGGACAGATGCCACGCAGGGGCCCTGCGAACGCGTCTCTAACTGCTGCCACAGACGGTATGTGCTAGAAGGCCAGCCTACTCATTCCCAGCGTGTGGCTCTTGGTGCGAGCAGCCAGAATAGCTCGAGAAAAGCTGCTGTTTCCTTGTCACAAAAAGGCAGGTCATTTTTGCCGCATTTCACTTGACAGCCCCTTAATTGCCGACAAATGGCCCTTTCCGGACCTCTGCGGTGCTGCTTGTTTTCCCCACGCCTGAGGCTACGGGAAGACAGGGCGCCTGGCGTCCTTTGTAAACAGAGAGCCCAGAGCGGAGCGGACGCAGTGTCACACGACACCCACCTGCTGCCCCATCTCACTTGGAGTTCATATACAAAGCACAATTTAAAAGAAGCCATTTTATTGAGCCTCAGGGCTTAATAAGGCCTGAATTCAGGTCCAAACGAAGGTGAGACTTATTTTAGATTAAATATTGATTTAGCGTATGAATGCCAAGAGGTGGGGCAGGCCTACGTGTCCAGCAAATGGCTTGGTGATTTTCCTCTCTCTCAAGACTTGGCATATGTGAAATAAAAAAGTTTAGGACTGATGGAGGACCACCTCTCTAACTGCCGCTCTAGCTGGCTTTGCTCGTAAATGCAAGGCACCGAGGCAGCACCCTTGTGGGGAAAGGCACCTCCCGGGGGCCGGGTGTTGGGGGCAGAGCCCCTGAAGGAGACTCCCATGGCTGCCCCCGGACGACATCCTCCCGACTGCTCCCTGATGGAGGCCTTGCCCGGGGTGTGCTCAGATGCTCAGGGGGCCTCGCATATGCAGGCCCATGGGTCCCAGGTGGGGGGCACTCCTCGGGGGCAAGATCTCTCTGGTCCATCTGCTCAGTGAGGACAGGGACAAGTCAGAGTTTCCCAGACCCTGTAACGGTCCCAGAAGGGCAGTGGCTAAGTCCCCCTTTAGCACAAGGAAGCAGGGCAGGACAGAGGGGAAGGGGCTGCCGGGGATGGGGTTGCGGGTTCGGTGGGTTTTGCAGGCTCAGACTGTCCGCCCCTGCAGCTGGGGTCTACCGGCCAGGTTCTACGGTCACCACCAGAAAACAAGGTTGATTTCTGGAAGCCAAACAGAAAGTGAGCCGGCTTCGGGATCAGAAGGCACTTTGGGTGAGGTATTGATCTGAGAGTTGGCCCAGTACCCGTGACCTCCAGGCCCGAAGGAGCTGAAGCATGGAATTCCTCATCTATAAAAGGGAGTCATTTCCACTGGCCCTGCTGCCCGGAGCGGCTGCGAGACTCAGACGGGACCCGAGAGGCGGCGCCACGGGAAGGCAGAGGGCTGGTCACAGAGGTAGGGGATGACAGTGGCAGCCACTGACCTCGGATTCCGAAGCGTCCACTGACTTCTCCTTGAGGTTGGCGCTCTCGGTCAGCACGGCTCCGTTGTACTTGTTGCAGATGTCCTCGTCTGAGTAGTGCAGCCCACCGGGGCTGGGCCGCGGCGGGGACCTAGGACAGGACGGGGCCGCAAGGGAGGGACGCGGGCTCAGGGCAGCTCTGGCCACGGACACCTCCCCCGGGGGCCTCCTGACCCGCCCTGCAGCCGTGGTCACATTGGTGAGAGGACATCCATGCTGATGGTCAGTCCGCCACAGCTTTGCGTGATGGCATGTGGAGTAGGAATTCGCTAATCCTACGAGTGCAGCCAGCCCCCAGGGGGCCAGCCGGGAGGGTGGGGGGCTCCCGAGGTCACTCCCCTCCTGCCTGAGATACGCTTCTTTTTGTAGCTCCAGAGAGGGATGTAGGATGCCCCCTGCCCCCTGCCATTCCTTCTCCCCCCCAGGCTCAATGCTGCCCTGTTGGGGTTTGGTGGGCGCCCGCGGGCACGGCGGCATGTCTGTGGCCGGCACCCCCACCGTGGCTGGTGCAGATCTTCAGGCAGAGGGGGGTTACGGCTGCTGTGTCCCTACCTGGTCCCATTCTTCTTCGAGAAGGTGTTCTTGACATTGAGGTGGCGGCTGTTGAGCTCCAAGGCAGCAAACCCTCCGTTGTCCAGTGTCACGGACTCCTCCATGTTGGAGATGCTCTTACCTGCAGCCGGAATGGAGAATGGGTTCAGATGTTCCAGGAAAGGGCCCGGCGCAGCGATGCTGAGCCCTAGCTGGTCAGCTTACGGGTGTTTACTGAGTTCCTGCTGGAAGCAGAGCCTGGAGCCGGGCCAGACCTGCTTGGGCTTGCAAGGCATCAGAGGTATCAGAGGCACGCTGGGAGGACGCTGCGCATTAAGGACAGCGAAACTGGAGCATTTCCGTGTTTATTTGCTTGACACCAAAGTACGGGTATTCTTACCAGTATTCTATGAAAGCGTCTTCAGAATGTATAACCTTTTTTAAAAAGCAGGGAAATTAAATACTGAATACATTTCAAAATAAAAAACTCACGACCATGTAATAAAATAGTAAGGAGAAAGTAGATGTACGGGGAGGGGGGCCATGGAGGGAACAGGGCATCTTTGGGGTGGTGAAAATGTTTTAGAATTGGCTGTGGTGATGACTGCATATGTCCGTCAATATACTAAAAGCCACTTAAAAATCGTAAATTTATAAATACATATGAGAACGTTTTTTAAAACATGTCAGCAGATCAAATGAGTAACAGTGCAGTTGTGGGAAACCAAAGGGGCTGAAGGGTTTCCGATGGCTTCGTGTCCTCAGGGCTGTCCCTGTGCTGGGACCAGAGAGAATCTTCCGGACCTCCTTCTCCTCCTCCTCTGCTCCCAGAGGCCTGCAGAGCCTCCCCCGTGGTGCGTTTTTGACATAGTGGCTTGTTCCTTACTGTCTGCCTTCCATCTTCCCCGGCTCGACCCCAGCTCCTGGAGGTGGGGACCTCACCTGTTTATCTCCCGCTGTCCCCACCTCCAGGACAGGAGCCTGCTCCAGGTTTATTACAACCCTAGGGTGCCCTCTCTGCTACGAACCCAGCGCCCCTCGACGGGCCCAGATGCTCGAGGTGCGTGCAGCAGGGGAAGCCGACAGAACACGGGCCAGCAGATGGAGGGAGGATGGGGCTGCTGGCCAGTGGGATCTGGGCTGATGAGAGGGTGAGCAGGTGAAAACCGCTCTCAGAAAGGAAGTCCCATTGAGGACGGTGGTGTGAGGGGAGCAAGCAGGAGGGGGTCAGGCCGTAATCTTGAAGGTTTGGGCTCTATATGGTTCCTTGCAGCAAGTCAGACATTCTAGTAGACAAGTAGGTTTTTTTTTTTTTTCCTAGGCTTCAATTATGGTGTTAAATTAATACTCCAGGGTGAGGCTCACTATCAGAAGCTGCAGGTCAAATCTGTCTTTTCAGGCCTGTTTTCCAGATGCAGAAGGAATGAAAAGCGGGGAGATCTTCTATGCGCCAGATACAGGATTCTGTAATAGCGTTAACTCAGTAAAATGACATGCCATTCATACATAGTAAATCCCATAGGAATAAAATCTGATTTACGAACACTTGTTAGAAGTGAATTTATACAGAAAAAAATAAATCTTTCCTTGGAGGGATGAATTGCTTAATGTTAGGAAAGCAAATGGCGAGGTGCCTGGCTCTTTTAACCCTTCAGGCGCAGTGAGGGATGGTGCTGGGGGGCGGGGGCCGGGGGAACCATTCAGCCCAGCGCCTCACCCCCGGGGGCTCAGGCGCCCACTCGTCTGTGGGAGACCCCATCAGGGATCCACCTTCCTAAGAAGCACAGACAGACAGACGAGCTGGTAGGCACAGCTCCAGCCACGGGACCTGCCGCCGTGGCGACCTCGGTGACATCGCAGAGCTGGTCACAGGCGTGGCCCAGCTACAGCTGTGCGTGTGGGGGACACAGCACCGTCTGGAGCGCGGTTACATTCTGACGGTGCACGGAACGGGTCTCACGGGTAATTACGAGAGTCCTTTAAAAATTGAGGAGACTGGACTACATCGAGTGTACTAATCGTGAGCCTCTGGGCTGCTGTGTCTGTGACGTGTATGAGCACCATCGGCTGGAGACACAGGACAGAGCACTCTCGGAACCCGAGGTTCCCTCACGGACCTTCGCTGCTGATGCTTCTCTGCCAGGAGGCAACCACTGTTCTGTGTTCTAGAAACTTCCGCTCATTTGGGTTGTTCCCGACCTTCCCACAAATGGAGTCCAGCTCTGCCCATGTTCATTTGTCCCTTTCTCTGATGCGGGTGATTCATGTAGCAACAAACACTTATTGAGCACCTCCTGTATGCCAGGCGTGGAGCTTATGCTGGGGAATGCAAAGGTGAGCCAGGGTCAGAGGGCTTGGAGCTGGAACGTGGGCGTAAGGCGAGGCACACGCTCCGCCGATCTCTGGGTGCGCCCTGTGTGTGTTTCCACACGTGGCTCCAGGAGCCGCACCAACGTTCCTGAGACGCTCCCGGCTCACTGTGCTCGTGACATCGAGTATATGGTGATTCACCTGTTTGACGCTCTGTATGTCCTATTCAAAAGTACTGCTGCGTTGGGCGATGGCGCAGATGAGGGAACAGACTCAGGGAGGCCAAAACCACCCACGTGACGGATCCAAGACACACGGCTCACTGGCGGTAGGAGCCAGGACCCGAACCTGGGCCGCCGGGCTCAAGGGCGCTTGGCTGCTACAGGGAGCTCCTCCCAAAGGAAACCAGCTGCACCTACTTTATCATCCGCAGGCAAACGAAATGCAAAGCGGATGCCCGCACCACAGATCCCGGATTGAGAGAGAGACAGAGAAGACATCGACCTTCTGGCTCCCCAGTGCAGGGGCGCATTTGGAGGTGGGGTGGGGGGGACAAGGCGGGCGCCCCACCTCTGCTGCAGCTCCCGTATGTCCGGTTCTGCCCGTGCAAGACCAGGGCGAACACCACCAGCAGGATGACGATCAGGCTGCAGAGCGCCATCACCAGGAGGAACCACCACTCCTCGTAGAACGGGGTTTCCACTTGAGCTGAAGGGCACAGGAACACAGGGTCACATGGGATGGGGACTCCTGCTGCCTGCCCGCGGCCCAGGGGTGGGGCGGAAGGATGTGTGGGGCAGCCTCCAATCGCAGGCAATATGAACCCCATGTGCCTGGCTGGTGTGGGTTAGGGCGGTCGAGGGGCCAGTTTCCCAGACATGAGCTCAGGCACGACGGGCTCCTCGGCGGTTGCTCCTTCTCTGGGGGAACCAGCCCTGTCCCAGAGCTCGCCCTGTCCTTGCCCGTCCACACCACCCTTCGCACTATGTCCCCCGATTTCATCTGCTTACAGATGTTGTCCGGGAGAAAGGGAGGAAGGACCAATGTGCCTGGACATCGTCCGATCCTCAAGTGCTCAGGCTTCCTTCCCAGATGTTCCCCCAGGGCCCCTTACCGTCTCCACCACGGCTGCCCCCCTACAACCCCTTCCGGGGGCTTCGCCTCTTCCTGACTTCCCCCCATCCCTTCTGCACATTGTCACCAGGGAGATCTTCCTCCGATGGAAACAAACGGTCCCTTCCTAAAAGCCTTCGGTGGCCCCACGTTAGCCCCGGGGCACAGTCCAAGCCCATGAGCCCCGTGAGCTGACTCCTATGCACTCCCACCCGGTGCTGGATTCTGTCCACTCCTGCATGGAAACCTCTTGCTGCAAGCGCTCCCCACTGGCCTCTGCCACACCAGGCCTCCCCAAGGGCTGCACTGTGCTGTGTTTCCTGCCTCCAGCAAAACTGAGCAGAACCACTGGCCCCATCTCTAGATACGTTTTTTGAGAAACGAATAGAAAAGGTTCATTTAAAAGTTGCTCTGAAGAAGGATACCCTTCTTGCTCGTGTTTTATTCTGCTTTACTAAGAACAGAAACATGGGAGTTGTTGTTTGGTAGGTTCCGTTTGGCCCTGGGGTCCTGCTGATGCCTTCTACATGCCCCCCGCAGGGGAGCTGGTTGGGAGGCACCAGAGCGGACAGAACAGGAAGCCGCGGTCCGCCTCCCAGCTGCTGAAGCCCCCAGAAGACGCATCTACCTTACGTTCAATCTCTCACTGGAGGGGTGAAAAATGTGTGCACATTGGGGACAAAAGGGGGGAACTGACTTTGGATAACGCGACGGCACAGGGTTTCTTGGGAGATGGCAGCATTTTGAGTCCAAAATATATAAGTGGTTTTCAGGATGCACATTAATTGCTCCATATAATGAGCCAACAAATCCCAACTGAGCACCCAGGTGGGCCTGGAAAAGAAAGGCCTGGGTACCCGCAGGACGCGCCCCTCCCCTGGGGCAGGACCCCGCAGGTCCGCTGTCTGGCCGCTGCTCTGAAGGACGGAGGAAGCTGACCACATTCCTGCCGGCAGCCGCGGCTGGCAAGGGGGTGCAGCGGGCTTCAGAGGACAGCCCAGCCGCGGGCCCCATGAACAGAAGGGTGAGGGGGCTGTGTTCTCCTGCAGGAACCAGCCTTTGTCGCCCCGGGCTGTGTGCGTGTGGAATGAACGGCCCTGTGCATCTGGAATTACTTTACGTGGCTTTTCCACAGAGGAACCGAGAGAGGCAAACCTTGACTTGCTCGACTGGGGTGATGGGTGCCCGGGGATTCCTTATTCTAGTCTCTCTTTTGGGAGGTATGTTAAATTTTTCATAAGAAAAGTGAAGGAAATGAGAACATTTTGATTTGTCTAAGTCCTACTGTTACACAAGCCCGCGGCATGCTGGGGCTCCTTCTGGCAGACCCCCTCCCGAGCCACCAGGGCTCACGGCCCGAGCCTGCCCACACACATGGTCCTTCCTCCAAATTCACGGCAAAGAGGAGACGCAAGGTGTTCTTGATTTAAACAAGAGCAGTCGGCAGCTTAAACAAATCTACATGCTGGGGACAGGCAACGTGTTTCTCTTGGTCGTAGGGATGCCTGCCTTGTTTCTGGCCTC